AGTTTGTGAGTAGTTTAATCTGTCACACAAGTACACAAGTTTCCTGACCTATATTCTGTGTCACTGAAATGTGCTGCTAGTGGTGATGTTTTCTAAAAGAAATCTCTGAAGTGGCTGTTGTAACTCAGAAAGTCTGGCCAGTGATCTGCCTTTAGAAAGCATCTCACTCTGCGTATCAGAGAAGCCGTGTGTGCTCTGCATCCAGCTCCTCACAGGGCTGCATGAACAGGCGTGAGTTAGGGCACGTACTTTAATGTGGTTGGTAATTTTAATCACATCCTGCATAAATGTTAAATTCAGGTGACACTTTTTGGCTAGCCAGCACTTCTCTATGGATGACATACTGCATAGACTCACATTTAGAAGCGACCTCTTTGACCTGAGTAGTGAAACCAGAAAGCTGTCCAGTCACAGCAGCTGCTCTATCCATGCCCAGACCAACACAAAACAGAACAGTTCAGTTTCCCTGATATGTAATCATTCAAAGACTTGAATAGCAGCCATGGCGTTGGTTGGCAACTAAAGCATACATAACATATCCTCATGCACATCCCCCTGAAAAATATGTCACAGAAAAACAAACGTTGTTGTCTTGTTGTCAACAGCAGGAGACTCGTCAACCTGAATTGAGTACCACAGTGACTCATTAATCCTCTCGAACAACTGTGCCTCAGTATCTGCTGCTACATCATCAATTCGTCTAGTTATGGTGCTGGCTGAAAGAGCAACACGTGCCACCTTTTGAACTACAGCCTCTCCTAAAAGCTCATGACAAATGTCCTTAGCAGCAGGCAGGATCAACTGTTCACCAACAGCCAGTCCTGGCTTTGGCAATGCGGTTAGACACTAAGAGTGATGCTTTCAGCGCAGATACATTTGATGAAGGGGTGGCCTTCAATAATTGCTTCTGTTCTTGATGTTTACGTTCTTTTCTTTTCTTTTTTTTTTTTTTTTGAGATGGAGTCTCGCTGTGTCACCCAGGCTGGAGTGCAGTGGCGCGATCTCGGCTCACTGCAAGCTCCGCCTCCCGGGTTTACGCCATTCTCCTGCCTCAGCCTCCGAGTAGCTGGGACTACAGGCGCCCGCCACCACGCCCGGCTAGTTTTTTGTATTTTTAGTAGAGACGGGGTTTCACCATGTTAGCCAGGATGGTCTCGATCTCCTGACCTCGTGATCCACCCGCCTCGGCCTCCCAAAGTGCTGGGATTACAGGGGTGAGCCACCGCGCGTTCTTTTCTTTTGAAAACTCCAAAGGCTTGTCTTTTAATGCAGGGTGCTGGGTCTCCATGCGGTGAAGCAGTTTTGAAGCTTTCATGGCTTTGCTGAGTAGTTGGTCACCACATATTCTACAAAGTGGACTTGGTGAATGTGACCAGCTGTGGAAATGAACCTAGAATTGGAGTAGAACTCTAGGCATTTTCTTCACAGTGCAGCTTTCCTTTCGTTGGCAGTCTTGGCGTCTTCTGCTGTCTCATCAATGGGTCTCTCTCCCTTTTCACAGAAGCTCTCCGGTGACGTTTGATTTTTACTCATTTTGGTGAGGGTTGGCGGGTGGGCTTACCAAAACCGTGGCTGAGACAAGTACACAGTGTGGAAAGAGACACGGATGGCAGTGGGAAATAAAATAACAGGCGGGCCATGCGCAGGCTGAAGTAAGTGTTGGATTCTGACTTAAAGCCTGCCACCAGATACAGCTGTACAACTGAAGTACATCTGCTCACTTGCCACTATAAAGCCTGCCACCAGAGGCAGCCTAATTGTCACTTGCCACTCACTGATAGAGTTTTGATAAGTCTGCAAGCAACTGATGTATCATTATGGTCTCTGTGCAGTCAAACCTCTCTGCTAACATTCATCCGTATTTGCAGCCACTCCCCAGCACTAGCATCACCCCCTCAGCTCCATCTCAGATCATCAGGCATTAGATTCTCAGAAGGAGCACACAACCTAGATCTCCGGCCCACGCAGTTCACAGTAGGGTTCGTGCTCCTATGATAATCCAATGCCGCCACTGATCTGACGGGAGGTGGAGCTCAGGAGGTGACGTGAGTGATGGGCAGCAGCTGGCTGTCAATACAGATGAAGCTTCTGCCGCTCACCTGCCACTCACCTCATGCTGTGTGGCCTGGCTAGTAACAGGCCACAGCCTGGTACTGTCCTATGGCCTGGGGTTGGGGACCCCTGTATTTGGGGATGGATATCATGCTCATGGGAGACCCCCCCATGGACGGTCTTTCCCATTGAATATACAGCCCTGAGCCTTTAATTATGTCTATAACGGCTGTTTTTTTCACTTTTCCCATTTCCCCAATGTCCACCCAGCAGGAGATTTTACTACTCCTTGATCAGGGAGGGAAAAATAACAAGTCCCATTCAGTTTGCTTCCTCCCAGACCTGAGAAACCAGCAAGACTGCCAGGTCTCGTCACATCCCAGGCCGTGAGGTAGAAACCTTGCACACTGCTTCTGACTGCTGCCACCGCCGCTGCTGCGCCCGCTGCTGCCCAGGGCTGAAGTTTACTGAATTCGTTACGCCCCTTCCCCTGCTTGGTTGCTATTTTTCCCTATTTATTTTTTACTAGTCTATTGCTCTGTTAGGTAATTCTGTGTGGAAGTTTCAATCTACTGTCTTAACTCTGACAGCTCCCTCTCTGTGTCTTAAGAAATTTATTTACTTTCTCAGCAAACTATCGCAAGGACAAAAAACCAAATACTGCATGTTCTCATTCATAGGTGGGAAGTGAACAATGAGAACACTTGGACACAAGAAGGGGAACATCACACACCAGGGCCTGTCATGGGGTGAGGGGCGGGGGAGGGATAGCATTAGGAGATATACCTGATGTAAATGATGAGTTAATGGGTGCAGCACACCAACATGGCACATGTGTACACATGTAACAAACCTGCAGGTTGTGCACATGTACCCTAGAACTTAAAATATAATTAAAAAAAAAAAAAAAAGAAATGTATTTACTGCTGGGTGCTCACGCCTGTAATCCCAGCACTTTGGGAGGCTGAGGCAGGCGGATCACCTGAGGTTAGGAGTTCAAGACCAGCCTGGTCAACGTGGTGAAACCCCATCTCTACTTTAAAAAAAAAAAAAAAAAGCTGGATGCAGTGGCATATGCCTCTAGTCTCCCAGTTACTTGGGAGGCTGAGACAGGAGAATTGCTTGAACCCAGGAGGCAGAGGTTGCAGTGAGCGAGATCACACCACCACTTCACTCCAGTCTGGGAGACAGAGCGAGGCTCTGTCTCAAAAAAAAAAAAAGAAATGTATTTATCTCTGTATTTCCACTGCTTGATAAAATGCTACACTTTGCTGAATAAGTGTGGCTGAATTGAAATAAGGATTAAGGTGACACCACTCTGGTGGGCATCATGAAAAACCACAAGATTCTAGACTCTCGTAGCATTGCTCTAGGATTGTCCAGGACTTAGGAGTACACCACTTAGATGCTTACGTATGTTTCATTTTGACCCAGAGAATAAAGAGACAAATTCAGAGAGGATGCTAAAGACATCATTAGTGTAGATGTCTTCAGAAAAAAGGCAAAACATGGGGCAGAAGGGTGAACAAAACAGAAAAAAATGTACCAAGATGTTCATGGTGGTACTTTGGGGGTGAAGCAGAAAGCAGCTTTCTTTTTATAATTCTGCAGATATTTGAAGTGTATTACTCTCCTATGAAAAGACTGCAACAACAGAAAAGCAGAGCCAGTGCAGAACTTGCAGGGCATGGGTTGAGCCCCTACAACACACAAAATCCCAGCCAGAATCCCCTTCAAAGTGATGCCCTATCCTCAGTCACCAAACCACCAGAAGGAGCGGCTCTGGCCTGCAGCCTGAGGGCTACGAAGTGCATTCCCCGGGTGGGAAGCTGCATGTGCGTGATGTCCATGGGGATGGCGAACAATGCCAAGTGTCAGACACGACGGAAACCCATCTTCACGCCTCACAGCAGAAAGTGCCAAGGCGTGTACCTGTTTCTTGGTCCTAAATCAGGACTGGTGAATACAGTCAGGATTTCAATGTTTTAAGCCCCATTTTGCTCTAAACTTATTTTTAAAAAAATACTTCTGAGTCTTAATTTTCTCAGTGGGATCAATGACTTTTGCTCCATGAAGATATACTTGGAGAACAAAAGCAAAGCATTTTCAACTCAACGGCCTTGATTTCAGACAAAAGTTCAATGCCATGGCAGTATGCCCGCTTTGCTCTTACAAATGACCAAGAGAGGTGGCAGAAATGAAAAAGCACCCCATCGCCAGTCCGGTGGGCCACGGTCTCCACACCAAGTGCTATCTTGCCAGGGTTCTGGGTACCTTGCTTAGAGGGAGCTCTGAAAAGAGCTAATTTATGGTTTTTATTCTCTTTGGTTATTATTACAAAAGGGATATACATATCTAAAACACAAATTTGCAACTGTAAGTCTCTCCCACTGAATAAAACCAACAAAACTTCTTAAAACTCCAGATAATCTCAAATTAACTTTTCCCATCTTACTTCACTTCTTTTTCCCCCACCATATATTTTACCCCTTGGGCTGTTTCTTCTGAAATCATATTTCTGCTAACCCAGAATAGGTGAATTTTCTAAAATCATCATTATTTCCTTTTTCTTTTCATCTCCCTTTCAGTTAGGGCCACATACTCTTTCTTGGCAACCAATGCAAATTCATTCTTTCTAGCCCGGTTCCAAAACCCATTTCTAGTGCTGCTATTCCATGCTCCCCCTCCTCCAGGCCGGGCGTCTCCTGTCTCACCGGAACCGGATGCCGGCTCTGAGCCCCAGTGCCCTTGGAGGCACGCACATCCTCTCAGGAGGTTCCCCATTCCGAGATTTACCTCAGTTCTTCCACTTTGCTTAAACTCTCCCCCATCCCCCACAGATATAGAAGCGCAAATCCAATGGTCTCCTCAACCGTGTCTGATTAGAGCCACTTGGAACCGAAGGCCTTGTCTATCCCTAGTCTGGAGGCCGAGCAGCAGGCACTCACCGTGGTATACTCAAAGTAGTAAAGGCAGTTGTCGGTCAGAATGAACCAGCGCCTCTTCCAAGTCTTTACCCTGCCACCTGCAGAGCAAAAAGAGATGCACGTTCCACAAGAGACAACCGGACAAGCGCAGGCTCCACGACACACACGACACCCTCTCTTCTCAGAGAGAGTTGGGGGAGAGGCATCAGGAGAACGTGGAGCCCACAACACTGACATCAGTAACAAGACACAGAGCCGAAACAGAAGCGTCTTTCACAAAGTGAAAGCCTGTGGGTACAAGCAGAGCAAGCGCGTCTAGGTGACACCTGGAGATGGAATCAGGACGGCAGGATGAGCATGGGTTTGTGGAGGGAAAACCCAGGGGCAATAATGACATACAATGCAAATTTGCCAGAGTCAGCAAAAAGCCTATGTGGTAGAAATCGCCAAAGAACAGAAAAAGAAGGAAGGGTCAGCACCTAGTGCAGGCTACTCTGCTACGGACAAGTAGCCCGGCACATAAGGAGTGTTTCACTGGAAGTGAAGGAAGGAGGAAGCAGGAGGGGAGATGCTGGGAGCCTTCACAATCAAATCCACACTTTCCCTGGAACACGAAGTAAATCCCCGTGGTTCTACTCTCTTCCTCACCTTCACGATTATAGGGAGCTTCTACACTGGCTCTTAACCTTATGTGCTAGTGTCCTGAAAACAAAATCTCCCGAGTCCTGGGTGACAATCACAGCAGAATTCCTTTATCAAGGAAGAATCCACTTGTACTGAGAGGTTGCCTCAGGAGCCTTTTCCATTCTGGGCTTCTCACCTAGAGCTTATAACAGAAACAGCTGGCAAATAGAGCCACGGCAAAACAAGCTCTGGTGGCGGTGGCTGGGAGGCTGGCAAGGGCCTCCCTTGGTTCTTTTTAGTATTTCTCAGCACAAAACACTGGGGTCATGGCCAGGCACAGGGGCTCACATCTATAATCCCAGCACTCTGGGAGGTCAAGGTGGGTGGGTCGCTTGAGGTTAGGAGTTCAAGACTAGCCGGCCAACATGGTGAATCCCCGTCTCTACTAAAAATACAAAAATTAGCCAGGGGTGGTAGCACATGCCTATAGTTCCAGCTACTTGGGAGGCTGAAGCATGACAATCGCTTGAACTGGGAGGTGGACGTTGCAGTGAGCCAAGATTGCGCCACTGCACTCCAGCCTGGGTAACAGAGGGAGACTCCACCTCAAAAAAAAAAAAAAAAAAAAAGCTGGGGTTGGGGTCGTGAAGTTATGCTGAGACAGACATGAAGGAAGAAAAAATTTCCCCAGGCCTATCTGAATGAAGCTACACCTGCTGTCAAATTGGAACCACAGGCTTCCTTTTCCTCCACCTTCCTCTTATCAAGGGAACATTTTCTGAACATGAACCACTCAAAACTTATCCCTAAGGCCTTCACCTGTGAAGCTATGCATGGCATTCTAGAGACACTTCTTGCACCCTGCTCTTTTGCTAAGACTTAACCTACAGACAATATTGCTTCTCCAATCTTCCTAAATGGCAAGAACCATGGGGCATAAATCTCATACCCCCGATCGTGCTTTCTCTCTTGCCCTCATCACAAATAGCTGAGCAAAGAGGAGAAAGGTTTTACAGGGACTCTTTCTAACCGCCAGAACCGGCCTGCGTGCTCACACCAGAGAAACCTAAGGGGAGTATGCAAACAATGTTATGGAAAGAAAATGTCCAGTGTAGGTCCTGGCAGACAAATAAAAGGACCACTGGGCTTTCAGGCCAGTTTTTAGCACCCCACTTGGACGCTGTACTCTAGGCGGGCTTACGTGACTGATCATTAACTGCAAAGATTCCAAATGACACAGATCTAGGTTATGCGGGGGAATTTGCTGTAAGCAAGCACGTGCCATCCGCCTGCCCATCCTGTGCTATGTCAAGCAAATTGAGACTCCCTCCCTCCAGTGACTTGTAAGTTTCATGTGAGCCCTTGCCGCTGGTCCCTAAAGGTTAGATGGCATGAATTAGAAGAAAACCATAAATGGATACTATGACATGCATGTGGAAAACAGGAAAGCCTGGGCAGAATTCAATAAGGAGGATAAAGAAGACAAGGACTATATTCAGGACTAAAGCCAATTTATTCTTAAAAAGGAACCCCCTCCACCAATTCAGAGCCTGAGAACTTTGGTCTTCCAGCCTGGCGGGCCATTGGTTGTCCCCAGAGGCTCAGCACAAAGGGAACATCAGCCCATGCTGGCCTCCCATGCGCTCCATCACAGGATAGTACCCGGGGAGCCCTTGGGACTTAGGAGATCATGGAAGAAGCGAGTCAGATGCTAAAAGAAACACGATGGAAGGAAATCAAGGAGAAAAAGCAAAGCCGGAAGAAATTCTCTGCCTGATCACAAAAGCTTGGTTATTATCCCTGGACAATTTATTGCATTACAGAGACCTCTACCATAAAGCATCACTGTGGGCCCACGCGGAACATTTCCACGTGGAAAGAAAAGCAGACATGAAACAAGCAGACAGATCAATGCGTGCCTAGGACAGTCCCTGTGGAACTCACAGGACCACCTCCCACTGCACGGCTCCTCAGCCCTCCTGTGCCCTCCCCGAGATATCAAGGCCAGATGCCATCTTTCCCTACAGCTGAGATGCCATCTTCCCCTACCTGACAAGTTCCTGAAGCATCTGAGGAAGTGTGCATGTTTGGAGTTGTTCTTTTTAAGTGTAGCTACAGCTCAGGGGATGCTTTGGCACAAATCTGAGGTGTCTCGGGCTAGGAAAACATGTTTCCCCAAACCAGCAAATGGAGAGGAGACACCAAAAACATAACCAGGAGAGCAATTCAGGGCTTTAATGAGGACTCGCTGAAAAAGCGAGGGAGCAAAACAAAACATCAAAACAGAGCCCAGGCTGTAATGCCCTTCTCTCATCCCCACGAAATTAAACACGAGGACTTCAGGGAGGGTTTTTGGGTTTGGAGTTGTTTTTTCACCTTCACTGGGTGTCATTTTGAGTTTAGGACACGCCATTTCCCCTTTTTGTCCAAAGGTAAATGTCTTAAATATCGTCTAATTTAATTCTTTCCCTAGTTTGCTTTTCCATCATGGTAAATCAGAAGCTTCCCCTAGCTTTGGGAAGCCAAGCCTTTGTTCTTTCTGGAAAAGTCTCAGCTTGAAAAAAGAAATACTTCCTTCTCTTCTTTCTCCTCTTCCCCACGTCAGAGATTAACTTTCAATCAGGCTGATTAATGGATGTCAAATTGAATATCGAACATAGTGCGTGTCTTAGCCAATAATTCCAAGTGAAAATGTCGTGGAAACTTCCTCTGCTTTTACAAACCCACTCTTAGAATGTTTTCTTGCATTACTGCATTCAGTAATGAATATAACATATACTCCTCCAAAAAGGAAAAACGAAAATTGCTCCAAACCCCTGATCCTGACCAGTTCCCTAGGGACTGTACAATAAGTTAGAAGCAGCATTAACACTACCACCGGCAATTAAAAAACAAAATAACCAAAAATAACGAAATAAGAAAATGCTGCAGCAATGACAGTGGCCTATGCAGAGCGAGCGAGCAGGCTGAGGGGTTACATACCTCCTGGAGTTTGGGGCAAGGAAAAGGAGAGCCAAAATCATGGAAACATACAAATGAGGGAGAAAAGAAAATTAAAACAAATAAATTAAACCCGATTCCTTAATCTTAAAGTGCAATGTATCAGTCACATTCATGCCTGCCTGGGGAGAGAGCTGACCTAAAAACACTAAACGGGCAAATGATCCCACCACTGTCTGGCACGTGAACGAGGGGCTCTTACATGCCATGTCCCACCTCATCAAGGCACGTTTTGGGGCACTACTGAAAACCTGGCCCCAAAGATGCCACAAATCAGCTTTTACAAAGCCAACGTTTATTAGTATATCCAGAATCAGAGCAAAGAAGGCTAAGATTATTTCAGGGAAAATTAAATGTCTTTCTTTAGATGGCTGTCACTTTTTAAAGTGTGTAAGAATGCACACACATATACCCATGAATACACATGTACATATGTGTATACACAAGAATACACATTCTTATGGCTATATGCATACACAGACATATACACACAGCTCCAGACGGCTGGAAGCCCTGCCTTCTGTAGCACATAAACACGAAGAGTGATGCTAAGTGTGCTACAATGAAAACACAATATTTGTAGTTTCGAAGGGTTTGATGGAGGTTTAGAAAAAGTAATGCAATGAGCTAAAACTGAGTCCCACACTTGGTAAAATTTCCTCTTTTTTAAAATCTGAAATGCCTCATGAATTTGCATGTCATCCTGGTGTAAGAACCAAGATAATCTTTGTACTGTTCTAATTTTAGTGTCTGGGCTGTCAAAGCTAACACTTAGTATTAGCATTTAAACAAATCTCGCTGGAGGGGAAAGTAAATCCAAACTTGGACACACTTTAAACATTTCCAGTAGGTTTTCTTTTAACTCCATCCACTTGGCAATAGGAATGTGAAAGGGAAGGCTGCCTATGGGGTTAGTAATTTTAGAGCCTTAACTTCAAAGATTCTGCTGGCTTAAATATACATAAAATGATGGCCAATTCAAGAGATATTTACAACTGATCGGTGAAGTGATGCCATAAGGGGAATTTATGAATTAAGTCATTATGTATAAGCACAAGGACTTGGGATATGCCTTTAAAAGAAAATATAAAGGCTATTGCTATCTGACCTAGTCAGAAATAAAGGACTCCATTTTAGCCTTCCCGGATGTGTTGGTAATGACCAAGAGAGTACTGACTTCTAATCACTGGGGCGAGTAGTTGGGCTGGTAGAGGACAAAACAGCCCCTGCTAATGTGAGAACCCAACTCATCAAAGGTTAAGGCAGAAGGCAACAGAGGAAATACGCTGTTAGTGGCCCCCCAACCAAAAAAAAAAAAAAAAAGACATCATTATGTCCGGAGAGTCTAGAGCTCTCTCTATATTCTGAAACTATTAATAAAGTAAACACATGTGGACATGAATGTGTATGAAAACCCTACTAATGTTTTTCCTATTGATTATCCTGTCCCCTTCACGGCAAGGCATGACCACAAATCTCAGCAGTACAAGCTCATCACTTCTGGCAGAGGGAAGAGAAATGCATTTTTAGCTTTTCTAAATGAACAAAATAATTAATGTGGCTGATTCAGATTGAAAAGGAGGGGGGGAAAAAAAAGAAAAAAAAAAAAAAACCGCTGCCCAAGAATGAGTAAGAGTGCTGTGGATTGAGCTGCAGCCAAGGGCTCTAGGCTTGCCATGCACACTGCCTGTGGGGGAGCCAGATGCAGAAGGAAGTGACGATGCACTGGGGCGGGGGCAGGAGCGCCAGGTACAAATCTGTGTGATGGGAAGTAGAAAGATGGACAAGGTTGGCCACCCTCCCAATGGTTATGGGGACAGGGAAGGCAAACGGACCAGGTGCTCAGGGAGCTGCCTTGAAACAAAACCTGGTCAACCAATTCAAGAGTAAAAATGTGGAGCATGAACACATGTGCGCAGTATTTATGGTGGAGTAAAATCTGTCCCCAGCGGTCTGTGTCCCAGGGGGGCAATGACTATGAAGTCACTTCCTTTGTGGAAGCGGACCTTTGTTAGAACAGAACTCATACCAAAGTCTCTTTGAAGTCCCCTATAAGCCACCCCCTTTCCCACATGGTGTGTGTGTGTCCATGAATGTGCGTGAGCATGCATGCGCGTGCATGCACACATGCACACATGCATGCACACACACGCACACACACGCACGCACACAGCCTTTCTTCCTAAGTCTCAGCTTTGGGAGCCCTAACTCGGAGACGCACTTACCGAGTTTCAGTAGCCAGCCTTCTCGGTCTGGGTTGAAGAAAGTGTGAGTGAGGTCATTCCCGTCATCTTCTGGGATTTTAAAAGGTTCATTTTTTATGCTCTCATAGAGATTCTGGGATAAAAGATGACAATTTATGTCTCTGATTCTAGAAATATTTTTTCTTCCTCCCCTTTCTCTTCATTCATTCCACAAGCATTCATTATATGCCTATAGTAAGCCAAGCCTGCTGGGTGCTGAGACTAAAAGAATATGACCATTTCTGCTTTCAGGCAGCTCACAGCGACAAAATAAATAAGACTTCCCCATTAGGAAAATAAAGACAGCAGCTTGACTTCTATTCAAGCTTTTAGTTTCATATTTACAAACCACTGTCCCCTTCCTGATTCCGTAGCTGGGCCTCACTACCAACTTCTTAATGAAATTCACATGGTTAAATAAATTAAAAGAGGAGGCCCTTGATAAACTGTATGTCTTTTCTTCCTTCCTACAAAAGACGATCCTGTTCCCAGTGAACTCTTTCTTGACTTGAATGAAGGCCACTCTTGCTTGCTTACCCGGAGTAGCTCCTCTGGCAGGTCTCCCCCATCATTGATGCCTCGGTTCATGGCAATGAACCTCTCCACAGTGGGCTTATCTTTGACATTGGGGTTGTGCAGACTGGTGTTCAACATGATGATGGCAAAGGAGAGGACATAACAAGTGTCTAAAGATGAGAGAAAAGCAAAGGGGAGCCGTTGTATGCTTAGATGACCAGAAACATCCTACTCACAAGAGCAAGAGATATCAGATGAAACCAGGAATAAAAAACCATGTTCTCAGCCGGGTGCGGCGGCTCACGCCTGTAATCCCAGCACTTTGGGAGGCTGAGGCGGGTGGATAATAAGGTCAGGAGTTCAAGCCTAGCCTGACCAACATGGTGAAACCCTGTCTCTACTAAAACAGAAAAATTAGCCAGGCATGGAGGCGTGCGCCTGCAATCCCAGTGACACGGGAGGCTGAGGCAGCAGAATTGCTTGAATCTGGGAGGCAGAGGTTGCAGTGAGCTGAGCTAGCACCACTGCACTCCAGCCTTGGCAACAGAGCGAGACTCCATCTCAAAAAAAAAAAAAAAAAAAAAGAAAACAAAAAAAACCATGATCTCCAAAGAACGGGATGAATCCAGATGAACGGGTACACTCTAGGGCACACTGCTGTGTGAAAGGAGCAAGGCACGAAAAAGTATATAAAGTATTCAAGACTTAAAGCTGTTTATTTTTTCAGATTGAAAGGAAAATACACACACTGTAGAAACTCTGAAAAACACAAGGTATTTTTTAAAAATATGACCTATAATGACCCATAATCCCACTATCTAGCAATAATTTATTTTGCTTTATTTCCTCTACGTAAATGTGTCTAGGTATAACTCATCACATATTTATCTCACAAACATATACTGCAACAAAATTGGAAACAAACTAATACATATATATGCTTTTCTGCTAATCTTACTATCATTCTCCCATGTCAATAAAAATTCTTTGTAACAACATGGGTTTTTTTAGTTTTTGTTTTCTGTTCTGAGACAGAGTCTGACTCTGTCACCCCGGCTGGAGTGCTGTGGTGCGATCATAGCTCGCTGCATGCCGTCTTAAACTCCTGGGCTCCAGAGGTCTTCCTGCCTCAGCCTCACAAACAGCTGGGACTACAGGCACAAGCCACCACACCTGGTTAATTTTAAAAAAATTTTTTGGAGACAGAGTCTTATAATGTTGCCCAGGCTGGTCTCAAACTCCTAGCCTCAAGCAATCCTCTCACCTCGGCCTTCCACCCAAAGTGCTGACATTACAAGTGTGAGCCACTGCACACAGCTCAAATGTGGTTTTTAACAGTTGTGTATTTCATGGTTCAGAGGCACCACAATTTAAATTCACAGTGCCATACTGTCGGACTTTTGGGTTATTTCCAACATTTTACTATTATAAGTATCATTAAATAAGTGTTCCTAGGCATGAATCTCAGCCCTTTTGTTTTAGAAATTATCTGGTGCCAAGAAAATAATCCAGTGTAAAATGCCCATCATAAACTAGGATGGATTATTGTATTTACCCGTGGACTGGAACACGCCATTATTGCACTGACAGTATCGCTGGGCAAACGCCTCCATCATCCGGTCAATCTTCTGGGCCTCTCCGGGTAGCCGGAAGCTCCACAGGAACTGCCTGAGTGGGTAAAGACAGAGTGCTCCAGAACTCGGGGAGGCGATTTACTTCTCTATCAATTGTTAAACTGCCAACGATTTTTTTTTTCTTTCTTTTTGAGACAGAGTCTCACTCTGTTACCCAGGCTGGAGTGCAGTGGCATGATCTCGACTCACTGCAACCTCCGCCTGCCGGATTCAAGCAATCTCCTGCCTCAGCCTCCCGAGTAGCTGGGACTACAGGCGCCCGCCGCCATGCCCAGCTAATTTTTTATATTTTTAGTAGAAACAGGGTTTCACCATGCCGGCCAGGCTGGTCTCGAACTCCTGGCCTCAAGTGATCCACCTGCCTCAGCCTCCCAAAATGCTGGCAGTACAGGCGTGAGCCACCACACCTGGCCACGGACAATGACTTTTTAACATCAAAGTGCAAAGGGAGCCCTGCTGGGCTTCAGCCTTCTGTTTCTATAACTCTGAACAGATGCAAAGTTGCCATCCACACCACTGTTATTTTAATCAAAAGTAAAGTTTTTCTTAGGAAAAAGTGAAAAATTAGGAAGGAAGCCATTCCTACTGAGGAGTGGTTTCCCTCCTCAGAATAGTATACAAGACTGAAACATAGATAATGCTCATTTGAAATAAACTCTATTTCCGGAAAACGAGATGGGTGACAGAAAAAGAGAAGACTGTCTTATCAAAGAATTAACAATTGATCCCTTTAAGTCAAAGAAAGACCCACAGCTAACAGGTTTAATTGTGGATTATTTCCATCCAGCTAAATGATAGCACAAAAGATGAAGTCATTACTTATACCTACAGCAGTGAAAATACAGAATGACAGTTTCTTAAAAGGCACAAGGTAACAAATTTAATAAAAAATTAAGGTTTACTTTTTTTCTTTCCAAAATGAAATGCATAACTACTTATTCCAGGGCAGGAAACTAAAGGATTTTCTAAACTTAAAAATTTAAAAATTTAAGTATTCATCAATTTCTAAAACCTCAAATGTAAGACTCAAGAAAGAGCGTTACAGAATGTGCCTCCGGAACGTAACAGAACTGAATTCCCCTTGACCATCCAGTCATTTCCAGTCAGAGACCAACAGATTTCTTCCCTCCAAAATACTCCAAAATATTCAAAATCATACTCAAAGATATAATTCCAATAAAATGGCACCCAGAACAGACTCATGATCAAAGGCTGGCCTCCCACTCCTTCCAAAGCGGCTCACCTCAAGAATACTCACCGTAGTGCCTGAACGAGATTAAGATCAGTGAACTCGTGCAGCTCCACAAATGCATGAAGAACCTGGATATTAAACTCATCTCTATCGAGAAAAGACAAAAAATGGGAGAGAAAGCAGGAGTCAGACACTGACACTGAGAATCTCCAGCCAGGCCATGTCTCCCACACTCCGTCCTGTGGCTGTCCAGACAGCTGCTCGCGCACACTGTCAGCAAGAAGACTGGCTAGCTCTGCTGACTGGCTAAACAAGCTCGATGTCCCCATGACTCCCGGACAGACCCATCACTATTCCCCAGAAAAGCCTCCCCTCAACACCAGTGTGGCTACAGATGCTTTAAGGCAAAAACCCCTCCAAGAACCTAAAGCGTATTTGGGAGTTTGTTTCTTTGTGTCATTCCTGAACAGCCTTCCCTAGCACGCGCGCATCCCCAAGGCCTTGCCTCTCCCCTAGGTAGTCTCCGATGGCTGTCTTGTTGAGCCCTTCGCCTTTGTATAAGAACTGGGCAATGTCTTCACAAGTGTTCTTCAGCAGGTCGTTCTCTATTAAGAACTGGATCCCCTAGAAAAAGACAATGAAAACGCCAATGATGCTTTGCTGGGAAACAGCTAAAAAGAAGAGGAAAGGGCACAGGAAGAAATGGGTGTGGGCGCAATGGAGTATTTAATAAATAGTTGTTAGCTGACCTAAAAAGCCGGAGAGTCACAGTTTAGGAACAAGGGCTTAGCGCAAAACATTTGCTCCCAAACGGCAACATGAACTGTAACACTTGGAAAGAAACGTTTTTAGGGTCTATCTGAGCACTACAAAAAAAAACCCCATCTAATATGGACCACTTCCCGCTTCTTTCTCACTTACCTTTTTAGGGTCCATATTAAATTTTTTCCTGCCCATGGCTACCTGTTTGTTCCTCTGCATGTTTTTCCTGTAAAACAACCATCACAGCCATTTTAGTACTTCAGGCCACTGGAAAGGCTTGAAAGACTAGTATCATTTCCACAGGAGTCCACTGATGTACACAGATTTTTGAAAGATTTATGCAGGAAAGCAACAGGCATAATCCGATGGAACTATGAAAGGCCAACTGGAACCTGAAGCCTGAACCTGGCTCCAAGCTCATTTGCTCCTTCTACCCTGGATCAGAGGTTTTCTTCTTTTTTTTTTTTGAGACAGGGTCTCTCTCTGTCCAAAGGCTGAAGTGCAGTGGCGCTATCTCGGCTCATTGCGACCTCTGTCCCCTGGGCTCAAGTGATCCTTCCACCTCAGCCTCCCAAGTAGCTGGGACCACAGGCGCGTGCCACCATGCCCTGTTAATTTTTTTTTTTTTTTGGTGGAGACAGGGTCTCACTGTGCTGCCCAGGCTGGTCTCAAACTCTTGCGCTTAAGCGATGTGCCCGCCTCGGCCTCCCAAAGTGCTGGAATTACAGGCATGAGCCGCTGTACCTGGCCAGTTTTCTTTTTTAACATGGTTTTTAAAAAAACTTTATCAGGGTATAATTTACTTATAATATTCCTACTGTAGGTACATATCTGAATTTTTAGTATACTAAGTTGTGCAACATCACCATAATCCAGTTTTAGAACATTTTCATCCTCCCTACGGAATTCCTCACATCTTTTTACAGTTAATCCTCACTTCTGCCTCCATCCCCAGGCAACTATTAATCTATTTTCTGTCTCCATAGATTTGCCTATTCTGGACATATCGTACAAACAGAGTCATAAAATATGTGGATTTTCAGATCTAGCTTCTTTCATTAGCATAATGCCATCAAGGTCATCGTGCTGCAGTGTGGGCCAGTACCACATGCCTTCTTGTGGCTGCGTCATCTTCCACGGTACGGATAAACCACATCTGTTTATCCATTCACCAGATGATGGACACTTAGGCTGTTTGCAGTTTGGAACGATTATGCAGAAGGCTGCTATGAGCATTTGTGTACAGGCCTTTGTGTGGAAACATGTTTTCATTTTCCCTGGGTAGATATCCAGGGCTGGACACTGCTGGGTCATATGGTACATCTATATTTAACTTTTTAAGAAGCTGCTAAATAATAGGTGGTTTTCTCGACTGTATCAGAATGAAAAATGCAGATTCACAGACCATGCTTCTCACAGTCTGATCCACCAACCAGCAGCCTTGGGAGCATGTCCGACATGAAGACGCTCTGCTCGTTTATACATACGCACCACCTGGGGCCTCATCAAAACAGATTCTATGTCTGAGAAGGGGCCTGTGCTTCTGTACGTTTAACATGATCCCATCTGTGGAGTCTGAGTAGCAAGGCTCTGGACTGGCTGAGTTACTCAAAGTACAAGGGGCAGAACCTAGGAATTTGAATTTTTAAAACCTTCTGCAGTAATTCTGGTGTGCACCCAAATTTAAGAACCACTGCCATCAATGTCAATAGTAATTTTATAATCTCTGAGAGCAAAAGAGTTGCCCAGAAACAAAATCATAACATGTTATTGCCTTGAAGAACACAGGTATTCGCTAGCTAAATCCTTGGAGGGAAGAACATCTTCCTAAGTGTTTTGAGAGTTGGTGTTTTTACTGTTTTTATGCCAGGCAGGGTCTTGCTGTGTCGCCCAGGCTGGAGTACAGTGGTGAGACTGTGGCTCACTGCAACCTTTAACTCCTGAGCTCAAGTGATCCTCAGGCCCCAGCCTCCTGAGTAACTAGACTACAGGCAGGTGCCACCACAACTGGCTACTTCTTAAAACATTTTGTAGAGACAGGGTCTTCCTATGTAGCCCAGGCTGGTCTTAAACTCCTGGCCTCAAGCAATCTTCCCACCTTAGCCTCCCAAAATGCTGGTATTATAGGCGTGAGCCATCACATCCAGCCTGTTCTGACCTTTTGAAAGGAACACCTGAAAACTGTGAGTAGTATCAGAACTTCCAGGTGTAAGATAATCTGGGATCCCCTGTGAACAGCTGCCTTAAGAAACAAAGTCACAGGGGAAACACCATTTAATTTCAGCCGGAATGAAGGGTTATGACCAGATATCTAGAAATTCCTATTTAACTAAAATGATCATCTAATTATTTTTTTCTAAATCCAGTAAGATTACTTTGATCAGTATTTCCAAACAAATACCACAAGGAAAGGCGTGTTTCATGGTTTCCAGTGTAAGTGACGAGGCAGTGTCACAGGTGCCCACAGAAGCAAGGAGTGAAACTACTGGGAATACTCAACTTCCTGGACCTCAGTCCGGTCCTTCACCAAAGGCTTTCCTGCAGCCACCAGAATGCACACTCCCAGATCTCTGCCAGCCACAATCTGTGCCACATGACTGCCCGGGACACACACCAAAGATGGCGCCCTCATTTCACTAGCTAGCCAGCTCACTTCTCCATCTGCTCCACTTGGAGCCCCTATAGCTCCAGGCCCTAGGCAGCTACCTCTCTAAGGGGCCTTCCCCAGTCTACACAGGTCTGACACCCTAGTAAGGTGTCCAAAGCAAAACAGCTGTTTCTGCTACTGGATCGCCTTAGTTAACTGACGTGTATACATTTCAGAAAGTGAAATCTTGTACTCCAGGAGTATATTATTTTTGCTTGATTAAATAGTATTTAGGATAATTTCTACATAATGCTGGCATCAGGTCGTTGATGAGAAACATGAATTCTCTCCTGTGGGAAAGTCTGAGCAAATGTAATGCGTGCTTGAGAAACAAATGCAGGGTGAGCCTGAGTACCCGTATGGATGGATCCTTGGGGATCTGCAGAATCACTTCCCGCTTGGTGCTTTCAATACTGGAAAACCATTTTAAGTTCCAGATTAAAAAACAGTAATAACCTAAAAAACCACTCCCTGACTCACAACTTCAGATGCAGTTCATGAATTACAAGTCTTCCCAAATTCACTGGCTGAGTACTTTGAATGCACTCACATTCCCGGTGTCTGCATTTCCTTGCTGTTCTATGGTAACTGACAGAGAATTAATCAAGAGAAAAAAACAAAGGGCACACTGAATTCTGAGTATGTGTGTGCGGACACCAGAATATACAGAAAGGAAACATACCAAAATATGAATCCTGATTATCTCTGGGATAAGTGTTTATGAGAAATTTGTTTTTTATACTTTTTTGTGTTTTACCAATTTTCTGCAATAAAGGTATATTACCTTTATAACCGGAAAAAAAGCCATTTTTTTACATTTTTAAGATCTAGGTAAAATTTACATTTAACAAAATGCGCACATCTTAAGTGTACAGTTCAATTTGTTTTGATGAGTGTATATACCCTTGAAGCACCACTCAGATTAATACACAATATTCCTGTCATCCTGCAAGTTCCCTATGGCCCTTCCTAGTCAACCCCACCCCAGCCTACCCCAGCAACCACCTCGGAGGCAGCCACTGCTATGATTTCTGCCAGCACAGCTTAGTTTGTGTGTTCTAGACGCTCATGCATGGAAGCACACGGTGCCCACAGTTTCTTTCACTCATCACAAGTTTGTGAGATTTATCTTGTGCTGCTGCACGTTAGCAGTTCATTCCTTCACACTGCTGAGTAATAGTCTCTTACCTCGACCTGTTTATCCAGTCACCTGCTGGCAGGCATTCAGGGTACTTCCAGCTTTGGTTATTTTATATAAGAATGCTATAGATATTCTAGTACAAGTCTTTGTATGGACATGTGTTCACTTCTCTTAAGTGACTAGGAGTTGAATTGCTGATGAAACTGCCAAACTTCTCTCCCAAATGGTTATATTTTATTCTCGCTAGCACTCGCCAACATGAGGTGCCATCCATCTTTTTAATTCTAGCCATCCTAGTGGATGTGAAATACCGTTTCATTGGGGTTTTAATTGCACCCCCTTACAACTAATGATGTTAAGCATTTTTCATGTGTCAACTATATATAAGGCTTCTTTTGTAAAGTGTCCAAGAGTCTTGCCCGTTTTTTTATTTGGGCTGTCTTTCTATCACATATTCTAGATATGAGTCCCTTTTCAGATACATTTGTTGCAAATATTTACTTCTAATCTGTTGCCTGTTTGTTTCTTTTAATAGTTTTATCTTTTATAAAAGTAGAAGCTTTAAATTTTTATGAACTCCAACGTATCCATTTCATTTAAGCTACAAGTATTTAACATGGAAAGAGGGGAAACTAATCCAAAATACCAAATGGACAATACAGAGACTGGCCGTGATGAGCTGGCCGCCTTCTGTGGAGTACTCGGCCTCACTACACCTTGGTGGCACTGCCCACAGAAGTCTAAAACAATAAATCAAACAGTCCTATGAAGCCAGACGGGAAGACTTAGGCTTAGAAAAATACAGACATGTAGTGAATTGGAAACAGCCATTTATTGCCTTAAGCAGTCAGAAAACGGTCTGGGAACCCCATTCAAAACTAGACTCTCAAAGTCACTAACATTTCATGTAAATAAAAGAAAAAAAAAGCAAAGAGTCCTTGTCCTTTTATACTATAATTGCATTTCTACATTTTCTTCCCTTAAGCATTAGGAAGGTACAAATAAGCTTGCGATTATACTCAGACATGACTGGGCACTCCAGCCCATAGAAATTGTATCAGCAGCATTCATTAAGCTTTTCCTTTACACAAAGGAAAAACAGAAACTTTAAAATGTACACACAGAGTGGACAACAGAGGGGAGTACTTCACATAAAAATTCAGGAGCAGTTTAAGGCTTTCTGGGGCCTTTGACGTTCTCCAGTTCAATTTTTTTTTTTTTTTTGAGACGGAGTCTCGCTCTGTCGCCAGGCTGGAGTGCAGTGGTGTGATCTCAGCTCACTGCAACCTCCGCCTCCCAGGTTCAAGTGATTCTCCTGCCTCAGCCTCCCAAGTAGCTGGGACTACAGGTGCACACCACCACACCCAGCTAATTTTTGTATTTGTAGTAGAGACAAGGTTTCACCATGTTGGCCAGGATGGTCTCAATCTCTTGACCTCATGATCTGCCTGCCTCGGCCTCCCAAAGTGCTGGGATTACAGCTGTGAGCTACCGCGCCCGGCCTCCAGTTCAATTTTTCAACAATGGAAGAACCTCCTATGTTCAGGAGGCCTTGCGGTGAAGGATGAAAGGCAGAAATGATGGGTGTATATGTGCTTGCTAGAACTAGAAGGACACAAAGCTGACTTTTTCCTTCAATCTGCCACGTAAGCGTAATTAAGGCCTGGGTGCTTCAGAAACTACAACCACGAAAGTCACCCAGCAGCAAGGCAGACTCACCTTTCCTCTGTGGATCCCAGGTTTTCAATTTCATTAGCTACTTCTGCTATCTCATCCTTCAGCCTCTGTAAAACAGACAGTCCAGAGTTAGCAGGAAAGGGAAATGCAGATCAAATTAAAACTTCTAAAATCTCACATAACTCCCTCCAACCAAAGACAAAATAAAATAAACCAAAATGAAACAAAATACCACAAAAATACAAAAAAGTAAATTAGGAAAATTCATCTGTTTCAGAAATATTTATTGAGTGCCTACCAAATAGTAAGCATTCCAGAAAATACCAAGGTAGAAAAGGATACAGCCTCTGACCTCACAGAGGTTACGGTCTAGGAAAGTTTATAAGAATATATGCTAGGTAAAAAAAACTGGTTGCCTCATCACAATCTTTCAGAACAAATCTGCAGCTAACTAAATACAAGTGTGCCAGAGAATTCAGAGGACAAAGTCTCCTACCCAAATCCCAGGCTGCAGAGCCAGCAGTAGCTGTGCCAGGGCAACACTGCCACCAAGTGGCTGGCAGAGGGAATGTCTGATCAAATCGATTGCATCCACACCCACCCTCCTCGTTCCAGCACACCCTTGGTCAGAATGGATGGGCTCTCCCGTGGAGGCCGGGCTTCAGTGGACAGCTGCTCATCTTTCTCAGGATCTACCAGTGAAGCAGGAGTCAAAGGATCAGGGAGAACTATCAAAATATACTTAACTCCAGAGCAAGTCAAGTCTTTCCTCATTTTGCTTCTTTGGGCAAACAGGATTCCCTCCTTAACTCCACTCCTAATGTTTTACAAAGAATTCTAAAAGAATAACATTTACTGCCTTAGGGTGAAAATAATCCAATTACTGGCTTCTAGACTTATTTCCTACAAAGCTTGATAGTTACGGAAAGGAACTTGGAAAAATAGTAAAATTGCTATCACTAAGTACATCTAGAGGGACCAGAAATTATGCTGTCTTTTATGCTAAGTCCTTACAAGTGTGTAGTAGGTGTTTTCATGATCTGACAGATGAAGAAACTGAAGTTCAAGGAACCAGAACTCTCTTGTCTCAAATCATTCAGCTAGTAAGCGGCAGAGCCAGGGCCGGGGTGTGGGCCGAGCTTCGCCTGCCGGGGTGTGGGCCGAGCTTCGCCTGAAGCCCACGTTCTCATTGCCTCTCCCCATCCACTCTGCTCCACAAGGGCAAACACAGCAGAGAGGACTACTCAGGAGACAGGAGTCCTGCAGGGTGTCTCCAGCTCTGACAACCGACCAGCTGGGTGAACCCGGACAAGCCACTCAAGCTCTCTGACACTCCATCTCCTGAGCTGTAGAGGAAAGGTGATTATCAACACCTACACTTTGTGCAGAGCTGTAGTGAGGGCAGGTCAAAAGTGTCCTGAGGAGACACGCTGTAAAGGACACCCTTTTATACAAATGGGACTGTCACTGCGGTTCTTAGGCTGGTGAAACCACCATGCCACTCTCCTACCTGAATGTCAGCCAGCAGCTCCTGTTTTCTTCGTCGGATGTTCTCCAGTTCTTGACGCTCCTCTGCGGTCAGGTCACTGGGAACTACGAAAATGGAGGGCAGTGTTACTAAGAAAGCTTTTATCTCGCCAAAAATCAAGGAAGATCCAGAGGCCACGAAAGGAGAAGGATACCAAGAAAGAAACTAGAAGCCAGTTTCAGAAGCCAGACTGAGTGACAGAAATAGTTATGGCTCCAATTCTTATCAGATTTTCTAAAGAAAGGAAGGCCCTTAAGTCACACAGAAAAGCTCTAAGAAAGGAACTCTTGGAAGGAAAAACAAGAGAGAAGAGATTACTGAAGGTTAAATTAGGTTGGCTATGAATGAAAAAGGATGAATATTAGCTGAGTGCCTGGCCATTTTCATCCCTTCCAGCTGGGAGACTTCAGGCTGACGTTTAATTAATCTCTCTGGGCCTCAGCTCCCTCATGGTCAAAAACAGAGCAGGACCGCCTCGCTGAGTTGAGCTCCAACATGGAAAGATGTCCGCGACCCCGAGGTGGGGAGGGGAGGCAAGAGGCAAAGTAACATGTACGAACAATTTTGTGCCATCTCTGGGAGGGGTCTGGAGAAAGAGACTATGTATACACTGAGAACTAATAGAAGTCTAGAATATATACCTAAAATCGTGCTTAACTCTGGGAACAGGGATTATGGGACTTCCTCTTTCTGCTTCATACCTTTCTTCATTGTTTGGATGTTTTACAATGTGCTCTTATCATCAGAACAAGGTTACTTAATTCCCGGATCACAGCTCTTACCACAATATACTTCTGCAATCCTCCAATGGCTCAATCTCCCCACCTATACAAACAGGAGATTTGGACAGACACCCTCTAAAATGACCCTTCAAGCATACTGTGGGAAGCTCTGTGGGCCAATGAGAAGAACAAGCATTAGAATCAAGCAAACCAGGTTCAAATCCTAACTCCAATCTACCAAATATCAAATTAGGTCACTTCAGACAAGTTATATAACCTATTTGGGTCATACTTCATCATCAATAAAGTGGCCCCACCATCACCCACTTGATAAGGATGATGTAGAGTAAATTAAGGTGCCTTAAACCCTGCCTGGTGCTGAGCAGAAGCTCAGCTCTTGTTCCCTCCGTGGCACAGCAAAGGGCACCCACACTCCCAAGGGTAGGGGTGGCGTGAGTGTCCTTCTATCCTCAGTGGGTGCCTATGTAAGCCTGGCTGTACAATATGGTGGCCAGGAGCCCCAAGTGACATTAACCACTTGAAATGTGACTACTCAGTTTGAGATGTGCAGTATGTATAAAATATACACTGAGGCCGGGTGTGGTGGCTCACGCCTCGAATCCCAGCACTTTGGGAGGCCAAGGTGGGCAGATCACGAGTTCAGGAGATCAAGACCATCCTGGCTAACATGGTGAAACCCTGTCTCTACCAAAAATACAAAAAATTACTTGGGTGTGGTGGCGGGTGCCTGTAGTCCCAGCTACTCAGGAGGCTGAGGCAAGAGAATGGCATGAACCCGGGAGGCGGAGCTTGCAGTAAGCTGAGATCGCGCCACTGCACTCCAGCCTGGGCAACAGTGCAAGACTCCATCTCAAAAAAAAAAAAATATATATATATATACACACACACACACACACCAAACTTTCTATAAAAACAAAGAAAAATTACTTTTTAATATTTTATATTGATTGCACATTGATATAACTTAATAAAATGTATTATTTTAATTGATCTCAAAGGAACTAAATGTGGAAATAGCAGGAAATAAATGTGCATCTATGGCTCATGTTATATTTCTAGACAGCACAGAGTTGGAATAACATCTCTACTTGAGAGCATAGTTAGGTTACACATAACTTCCTTCTGCCCATGGCATTAAAACTTAATCTACTACATTCAGAGAACAGTTACTTTCCCCAAATATTTCATAAAAATCACAATAAGAAGGTAGAAGCAATAGACTACAGTGAAGCCTACAGAGTGGGTTAAGTAGCTATATTAGAAAAGCCAAATTTTTCCTTTTTTTTTTTAACCTAGTTTTTCCCCGTCCTTCTCTAAAAAACTGTGTTTTTTAAACATCTCAAAATCCAAAAGAAGAAATGCATTTTAGTCCAGGCCTGGTGGCTCACGCCTGTAATCCCAGTACTTTGGGAGGCCAAAGCGGGCAGACTGCTTGAGCCCAGAAGTTTGAGACCAGCTTGCGCAACATGGTGAAACCCTGTCTTTACTTAAAAAACACAAAAATTAGCTGGGCATGGTGGCACGCGCCTGTAGTTCCAGCTACTCGGGGGGGCTGAGGTAGGATTGCTTGAGCCTGGGGCGCAGAAGTTGCGGTGAGCCAAGATCGCACCACTGCACTCCAGCCTGGGCAACAGAGCCAGACCCGGTTTGAAGAAAAAAAAAAAAAAAAAAAGAGAGAGAAAAGAAAGAAAAAGAAAAGAAATGCATTTTGTCTCATGACCCAATCTCAACCATACATAAAAGTATCAAAAATAACACCTCACCATGTGAAATGCATTGATATTAACAGTGGCTTAGTCCAGTAAACTGATTTTATGGCTGCGTGTGGTAGTTCACACCTGTAATCCCAACACTTTGGGAGGCTGAGGTGGGTGGATCACCTGAGGTAAGGAGTTTGAGACCAGCCTGGCCAACATGGTGAAACCGCATCTCTACTAAAAATACAAAAAATTAGCCAGGCGTGGTGGTGAACACCTGTAATCCCAGCTACTCGGTAGGCTGAAGCAGAAGAATCGCTTGAAGCCGGGAGGTGAAGGTTGCAGTGAGCCAAGATCGTGCCATTGCACTCCAGCCTAGGCAACAAGAGCAAAACTCTGTCTCCAAAAAAATAATAATTAAAAATTTAAAAAAATTATTTCATAATCAATTAGGTAATTGTATAATTACCTAATATACTGAGTCCTGTGGTTTGAAAAACACTCTTCCTTTAGAGGCTAGAAGAGACAGCCACTCTCAAGATCCCAACAGACCAACTAAATCCAACTCAGGTCACCTTCACAAGAGTGGGCTTTATACTGCGTCCCTGAGAACTCAAGGGTGATCACTCAGGTGTGTGTATTGGAGGATGGAGCCTTAAATAAGATCACCTACACACCTGCTCTCCAGTCCCATTCCTGTGTCAAGACCCAGGTTTTCAGCTCAGCAATCCATCAGCGTTATACGGATTCTAACTCTGCACTGTTCCCCCCAAACCCACCACCCCACATGTTTCTTCCCAGGCTGAACAGTTCTCCTAACATTTAAAAAAAATTATTAAAATAGCTGCTTCAGGAAAAAGCTAGACAAGTAAGTGAGCTCTGGTTAAAACAAAAGCCGTTTTGAAAAACAACATCAACTCTACTGATACGTACACCATTCTAGAGAAAAGCATGCCTAAAGCAGTCCATTCCAATTGTTCTGTGCTTCACCGACCAGAAAGATTTCTAGTCCAAGTAGAAGATCCCTTTAAGAAATTAATCTCCTCAGGTTCTAGAAGATACATATTCATTCCAATATAACATGGTTTTGAAATTAAGGCAACATTCATTTTTTAAAAACAGCTGCTCCACAAGAGGCTCAATAATTGGGATTTGATTTTGAAGCTACAGAGCTGGCTTAACCAGATCATCAATATATCTCTACCCAACAGAAGGAAGACTAAACCCAAGGTCCATATAATGAGGCTGATGAAAAACAGAGCAATCGTATAAAAAAATTCCTCTCTCAGGACTGCTATATACCCTGAGAAGACAACTTTTATCATTCTAAATTGGCAACTCTTAATCGTTGCTTTCTTTTCAGAATCTGAGCACTCGACCTTTCTGGGTTTAATATTCACACATGACAAGTTTTCCGGAAGAACACAATCTAGCTTCTGTATTATAAATTCAAAAAGCCCTTCCAGTCCTCTGCCTTCCAAGATATTATTTTAAAATAGAAAAGGAATAGGCCAGGCGCGGTGGCCCACGCTTGTAATCCGAGCACTTTGGGAGGTTGAGAAGGGCGGATCACCTGAGGTCAGGAGTTCGAGACCAGCCTGACCAACAAGGTGAAACCCCGTCTCTACTAAAATACAAAAATTAGCTGGACATGGTGGTACGTACCTGTAATCCCAGCTACTTGGGAGGCTGAGGCAGAAGAATTGTTTGAACTCGGGAGGCGGAGATTGCAGTGAGCCAAGATGGCAACACTGCACTCCAGCCTGGGCGACACAGCAGGACTCCATCTCAAAAAAATAAAAAAATTTTTTTAAAAAAGGGAAAGGAATTTAAAAAAATCCATAAACCTACAATATCAAAGAGTACACAGAGAAGGGCCAACAGAAGAGATTTCAACAAATTTTCAGAACAGAGAAAGGAAAGAAACAGTGCTAAGTGCTAATATCTTCTAGAATAAAAACTCCACAAAGGCAGGGACACTGCATGCCTTGTACACTGTTGTTTGTGGCACCCAGCACAGGGCCTAGCACGCTAGGGATTTCACACGCGCGCGCGCGCGCGCACGTGCGAACACAGCCGACTTTCTCGTGAGCAGACAAGCGTGGAGTTGGTGTCTAGGGTAAAGCCTCCATACGTGGACGGCGGAGACCTAAGAGGACCCTACCCCCAAGCAGGCTCTTGCCCACTCGCCCTGAAGCCAAGCCTCTCTGCCCACAAGGCCCAGCCATGCACAGAGCTTCCGCTTAACACATCTACTGCTTCACTCTTACACTTACAGAGATAACCACACCCACGCCAGGAGTGAGAGAGGACAAGACAGGGAACAGAAAACTCACCCTAGAGCAAACAGAGATAATTAGGGGGAAAAAAGAAAGAAAGAAAAAAAAACCTTTAAAAGAACAGAGAACTCTGAAAAAGGGACAATTACAGGAAAAGAACACAGCCTTGCAAATTAAACATACTTTTGTCCCCCACATCAAAAAAGTCAACAAAGGATTAAAAGAGAAAGTTGGGGCATTCTTGTAGAACAAAGAGGCTTGAAAATATAAGCAAACCTGGAAATAAAAGCAACAAAATCAACTCGGTCGAATAAAAACATTTTTAAATCCCACGGAGAAATACCCA